TTGTAAACTCAAGGTTATAAAATTTATAAGAAATGCTACTAACGAAACCATACGAACAATGTACGAAAGAGGGACATTTCAACAACAACAACAACAAAAACATAAACAGAATGAATAGTCTCGTGATAGTCTATAGTGTCAGAGTCATATGAAAATAATAAAATATGAAGATGAATAAATTATCAAATTCAGTTGTTGTCCAAGATAAACTACATAGTTTTGTAATTTTCATTAGGTTTTAGTTTAAAACAATTAGTTTCTTCGATCAATTTTGATAATGCAATGAGTAGACGAAAGTGATTAGAACTATGTGGTATATTTCGGACATTCTGAACACATATAATATACTTAAGACATTTTATAATAATGGCGAAGGCTAACTAGACCGATTGAAAGGTAAGTGGAAACAAAGATATTGATAAAGCACACAAAAAATAAGTGGAAACCACGCTGCATAGGCTAAAGATAAGAACACATAAAGGGTGTTTCAATATACATATATATATGATCAGGTTGTTCGAAATGTAATGCGCAAATATATCACATAATTCTGATAACCTTCTTCTCCTCATTGCATTATAGAAATTTTAGCTTAAGCTTATTTTAATTTTCATTCAAAGTGTTATCGCAGCATCTTTTCAAGTATGGAATAAACTTGAAAATATCACAATTAAGGTTGTTCAAATTGAAAATCAATTTATTTACGTTTCATTTAACTTGAATTTGTCTAGTCAATTGTAGGAGTTTATTCGAACATAAGTTAACGCAAAAAGAATTATCTATTGTTTTTCAGTAGATGCTACAGATGTCCCATTCCTGTTATCATTACTAGGAATCTAAAATTTTTACTGAATGAAACTCTAAGAGGATTGGTTGAAGTTAAACATTAACACCGTTGGATACCAGCTCAGTGATCGATAGGTTAAGCATTCGCGGTTCATGATCTCAACCAAAACTGTGATGACGGACCATCGGTGGACTCGAGGAAGCTGTAAGAGGCTGAGAAGGAGCCGAAGATGTTCCATCCAATCACCTTTCGGAAGAATATTCTGGAATTTCCACAACCCTTATACTGATAACTATATTTTTTGTTAATCTAAAGAGTTAATACTGAATATAAAAGAGTAATTTTTGTTAGGTTATGCTGCATTCAATTTCCTCATAGTTGACAGTTATGGTTAACTAAAAACTTATTGATTGATAACTTTTGCAAAAAGAATAATATTCGTGAAAATATAAAATAAATTTTTTAGTTGGAAATAATCTACCTCCAAGGAATCCATTCATAAATAGTTAACTTCAATCAACAACACACTTCACTTGTATTCAGTAAAAATGAATTATGAAACCATGTTCCATATGTTTTATCTCCAAGAGAAAAGAAAGACATTTATTCGATTTATACACACGATTTAGTAATAAGAAACGATGAACAATTAATTATTAATAAGAATACGTAATTGTTAAAGAGATCCAAATGAATAGTTATTGATTTATTTTAATGGCTCAAGATCTGACTCCAGGTAGAACATTTGCTGCTTGTTATCGAAATACACATGTCACTAATCCTCGTATACTATCATCGACTTCAGACGCGTTGGTTAATAATGGAATTAAATAAGTCAGATACGAGAATGGATTTTTGAACACGTATATTTTGTACAATCGTTGGTCTGAAAGTGAGATAAAGCTAAGTGACGCATAATGGAGAAGGCGAGTGAACTAACTCAATCTAATTAAGCATGAATCAATATCTATAGTCAGACAAAAATAAGTTGCAGACATGTGGTGAGTAAGATAAGAAATGTAAACTCATAGACTTACATAAAACCAGTCAAGGTTGATGAGCAAATAAGTGACAAGTTCAAAATATGGTTAAAGGAGATGAATAGATTGATCTATCCAAAAGCTAGAATAGTTTTATTGGGGCATGACATAGAGCCAGCCGCTGCATCATTTAATAGTGTGCATGTCAACGTTTATTTTTAAGTTCGTATATATTTTGTAAGAACAAACAAACTTAAAAGATTTGTTGAAATCGGCAAATTAAGTAATATACAATTTGATAATAAATATATTTTTTGTTAAGCTTCAATGAATAGAAAAATTTTATTTCTGACGTTTCGTGACTATTTGTAAGCCACTTCAGGAAACAACGTTTCCTTTGTACTATTTAAACTTGTGTTAATTTATTTTGGATATTTATTTACTCTGAACAAGTGGTTTACACTAAATCACGAAATGTCAGAAATACAATTTTTTCTACTCATTGGAATATAACAAAATATATATTTATTATTAACTTTCTACTCGATGCTGAACTTACTTGAAACTATCAAATCAAACCTTGGCATTGATACCTATAATATACAAATTTTAAAAATATACTAGAATGATGAAAAAATGTTTACAACGTGACTGTCAGGATGACTGAGATACTTCAATTCGGTACTTTAATAGTTTGACAATAATAACAATCAGAAAGCGTTTTGTGGAGATTTTAGAAATTCCACTACTTGAAATCATGAGTTAATTAAAGCTAGAGCACCATGGAAAACCTGGAAGCACTGGACGGCCGTTCTGTCCTAGTATAGGACTGACAGGACTCATAGGTCCTGAGTTCGAATCTCGCAGGGGGCGGGATCGTGGATTTATTTATGTAGTGAAAATCAGTTAGTGCAAAAGACATTGTTGTTAGTATATAACAATCAATAATACTATATCAGTCAAATTCTTAAAAGAAAAGTTGGTAATTATGTTTTCTAGTCATATTCAAGGTAGTAGTTAATAATAATATACACTAGGTTGGTATGTTACTCTAACATTTCCTGTTGTTTTTAACATTGAAATCAGTTCACTATGATTTCTTATTAATTTTGTTAAATATGATCAGTGAAGCATTTCAATCATCACCAATATATATATATGACATGATGTGTCATAATATCTATAAAATATTGTAGAATAACATAAAGTACAAAATATAACTTTCGTCCTTTGTTAGAGACTTGGTCAAATTTTTAATGTGATTAATTGAATTCATTTTTTGATCGAGATTTTAAGTAAGTAAATTGTCACAACCGTTTTACTACTAAAAGTATTTTTATTTCCTTTTATTTTTGCGTAGTCATAAGTTGAGTTCTGACCCTAAACAGTGTTTATACATTAGTATTCGCATCGACAAGTGATTGAAATGTATTATCAGTTTACTAGAGAACAGTGACAGGCCGAATCACAGACTCAGTCGCGACACTACGGATTATTGACGAGCAATCAATAAAATGGGATCGGAGTCAGATAAGACTGCTTACTCTCACCCTTTTTCTTTCTTCTGGTGGTTGACTGGATTGTGAAGACATCCACATCTTAAAAGAAGCACGGAATGCAATGTACAGCTTGGATACTACTAGACGATTTGGACTACGCAAACCACCTGGTTCTTCAATCCTATACACACCGACAAATGCAGATGAAGACAACTAGTGTATCATTAGTAGGCCTTGACATAACAAACGGGAGTAGCAACAACCTAAAATACAACACAGAGAACACTAATCCAATCACATTTGATGCAGAAGCTCTGGAAGTGATGGAATCTTTCATGTACCTGGACAGCATCATCAATGAACAAGGTAGATCGGATGCAGATATGCAGGCGCGGACTGTTAGAGAAAAGACGGCATTCAAAAAAACTGTCAATCAATATCAAAGTTAGAACCTTCAATACGAATGTCAAGGCAGTTCTATTGTACGGATCTGAAACTTGGAGGACTGCTAAAACCATCATCAAAAATGTACAAGCATTTCAAATCAATTGTCTACGTAACATACTCAATATCCGCCGGTCGTATATCATCAAAAACAGCCTATTATGGGAGAGATCAAACCAACTTCCAGCTGTAGAGGAAATTAGGAAAAGACACTGTAGGTAGATAGTACATACATTGCGGAAATCATCAACCTGAATGACGAGACAAGCTCTAACATGGAATATTGAGGGAAAACAAAAAAGAAAACCAAGAAATATATTGTGCTGGGAATCGGAAGTAGACATTAAATGAATGAATAGTAACCGGAAAAGACTGCCCAAGACAGAGTTCTATGGAAACTGCTGGTTGGCAACCTATGATCCTTCACGGGGGGTAAAAGGCGTAAGTAAGTTAGGAGAATAATGACATTCTAATCAGAAGATTTCATTCAAGCATCTGTTTAATAATGAAATCCTTAAAGTTACACTCAAATCCAATTACATTCATCTTTGAGGAAATTTCGTAAAAATAAACCATTTTGGTGATGATGAAATGCTCTTTGTCTTTCGTTTGTCTACAGACGGGTAGTTAATACGTTTATCAGTACTTCTAAGCTGAGAGTTGCTTTCTCAGCTCATACTGAATTCACCATCGAAAATGAAGAGATTTGAATAAAGACAAGCTACATAAATGGCTTAATAATTCTACAGAACTGGAGAATCCACAATTAAGTCAGTGAATGAATGCTATTTGATATAAAAAAGGCTGAAATAATTTAAAAACATTGTTTAAACTATGAAGAAAATTGACTGTAAGGCCTTACTATCACATTTTTCATACCCACTCAAATAAAAAAAATATACTTTTTAATCAGAATGATATGACATTGGCTTAATTAGAGTTCAGTTGATTGTTCTAAATATTTTCATTTGTTCTTCAGTACTATTTCAACTTGTGTTAATTTAATTTATTTTCTTATTCCCTAATGAAACGATTCAAACTAAGTTGAGAAATATCGGAAATCATATTTTCTATTCACGGAAATATTACAAATACATTTTTAACGTTCGAAGACGTATATGAATTGATCATTTGTATTTCCTGCTCATCTTAGTCGCATAACATTGTCAATATCATTAACAAAAAAAAACGAACATATTTATCGTCTTGATGAATTAATAAACATTCATGTGTAAATTCAATAGACTAATAGGAAATGTTCATAAGAAAAGAAAAAAACAAAGAACTTGCCAAGAATTTCACTCCAGTGTGGATTTTCAGTTGTTGATCCACTGGCACCAGTTGGTGTAGTAGGCCAATCTCTCCAGTGTTGTTGTTGTTGCCATTCAGATTGTATGATTAGACGATAAATAGCTGTATTACATGCACAGCAAGTACGAACAGGTTTTGGTAATTCTTGTACAGAACATGAATCCGATTCTTCCGTTCCATAATAACCACTATCACTGTAACGGTGATTTTTACTATCATCATGATCGAATTTTCCAATGTTTGTGATAGATCGTGCTTTAACATTATCACTTTTCACTTTTCTAAATAATTTTGTATTTGAGTGTAAATATTCCGACCATTCGTCAATTTGACGTAAATCTTCTGCTGGGCATAATACATGACGAAGTGATCCAGAATTTTTGAAATAAAATCTGTGCCAATGCCATGGTATGATTGTAGCTCTTATCTCAAGACATGAATTAAAACTTTGTGTATTCGGTGTATATTTCAGTATTGTTGATTCTGAATTAGCTGGACTTGTCCATACAAAGCTCACGTGGTTAGGAAAATTATACGCAAAACGAATAGCTCCGATGGCATGATTTGAACAAACTGTTGGCATAAATCTTCCTTTACTCTGATTAAATTCCTCACTTTCTGGCGAACCTAATGGTACAGCAGTCAAGTATACAGATTCCAGTCGTAATCCATTTTTAACTGTATCCGAGTGCAATTTAGGCCCAACTGTAATGAGATAATCCCTACCATTTAGGTAATGAACTACTGGTTTGTAGCTTGGTGAACTTAAATCAGATGAATGTAGAATTACTTGACCATTATTACCACTACCACGTCGACGTTTTGCATCTGGTGGCAAAAGCTGAATACGAATCTCTAAGCCACCATCACCTGGACGTCGAATTACAGACGAGTATTCAGGCATTTCATTGCAATCATTCGGAACTTTATTGTATCTATTCATGCACAAAATCGGGTCGAAATTTGAAAAAATAATGCATGAAAATAATAAGAAATGAAATATCACACTTAATTTAGAAAAGACAATGTTGTAAGCTAAGCACATCTGGTAGCATTTTGACAGCATCGTAGTTTAAATAATGTCAATCCAATGAATTTATTTGGGATTCAAATCGATATTAAGTGACGTATTCGATATAAATTTATGCGAATCAAGAGATATTACTGAAAATTGCCGTCACTCAATCTAATCACAAGTAGTCTATGCAGGTTGTTTATTAAAGATCATTATTTATCAACTGATTCAAGAATACGACGGGATTTGTGTCGCACTTATTAAAACTTTCATCACTTCTTCATTGTCTTCAACTGATAATTTTGTTTCTTTACAGAAAAAAAGTACACTACTTTTGATTACTAAAAGTAGCTTGCCTATTAATTGGTTTATTAAGGGCAATTAAGATTACTACCTGTCTATAAATCTATCAAAAATGAATGAACCAATTAGAATGTAAGAGTTACAGTTGACTAAACGGTTCGAATTATTTACTTCAATGGAAAAATATACATGCGCAGAAACATACCTACAAATATATATTTACAACAGGAAAGTTATCTTTTGCTGATCAAATTATATACATAACCAAAGAATAATTTCGATTTTGTTTTTTTTTTTGTTTTTTCTGTTCTTGCCTGTAAAATAAACTATTTTTTATTTCTATAATAGAATCTCAAAGTGAAGATTATCAGCATGAATATAAGTGTTTGTGTGTGTGTGTGTGCGTACGGGTTAGGGATAGACAAAAACAGCTAGATTATTGTCAAAAAAAAAATACTCTTTGTTCGACTTCCCACTTACGATATTTTTAAGTGTAGAAAAATAAAATAGGGAAATAGGTAACTCATTGAAAAAAATTTCTAGTAAGATAATTGAGATTTTATTATTTTCCTCTATAAATATGAGAATGAAACTTAACCATTTTAAACTTAAATTTTGATTTGTTTAAATAAAATTAAATGAAATCTGTAGAAAATAAACCTATCTGTAAATGAACTTGGGTTGATTACTTTAGTTGTTTCCGAGTATATGATTATACAATCGACAACTATAAACGTAACTTCATAGTGTAACATATTATACCTTATGCTAGGCTGAATAACATAATTTTTCTTTCTAATTCTTAGTGATGATATATGTTCGATTGCAAACTGATATCACAGCCTCAGAAAGCACGTGGTGATTGCTTCCATATAGGGATGAAATCAGTCAACAATAAATGTAAACAAGAAATCACAGCATAGATATTCGTAACTCTGCCAATCAAATTTAATGCTTGTAATTCAATTCCACATTGAAAATACCTCTTAGAAAAGATTAATAGTTGCATACGTGCTAGAAGTACTTTTACGAAACTCTATAGTACGTCAACAAAGTTACTGTTTATTTGATTTTTGCTTATTAAAATATAATCCCGTCTAGTTTAAAACACTCAGCGTCCAAACGAATGTTTTTCAATTACGTACATCTTAAAAATTTTGTGAGGTGAATTCTCCTAACTTGTTAGTTTGAATAAGTATTTAAATGGTTTTACAAAAGATATCCTGATACGTAAAACCTTGTATACATTTTGGTTTTTAATGGATGGGAAAATTCTTGAAAATATTCTTGTTATTTATGTTGATATCTGAATTCAATAGAACACATCCTTTTGTAGTGATATATTTATATAGATTTTCAAGGCTATAACATTACGTGATTCTGTAACAATTAGTCTGACAGTACTAAATTTCTTAGTTTCAAATTCTGAATTCATGAAACATCAACTGTTACGATTTATATGTGACAGTGTTAGGAAAAGATAATAAATAAAGTTAAGTATCCTTCTACATTATACGCTTCCAGGAATAATACTCAAGTCCTTTAAACGAGTTAAGCAATAATCAAATATTTTGACACTGATAAAGCATCCTTTTTGAACAGAAACGTTTGAAATTCCTTGCAATATGACGTTGGAAACAAATTCTGTCTTACGAATTATGAAGTAAATATTACTTAAGGTGTTGAGATATTAGGTCAACCACAGATAATACAAGTACTAAAATATCTGTAATAATGAAGATCTTAGTGTAATCAGAAATGCACTATTATCATCATAGGAAATATGATTATTTGTTTGGATACATTCACATGACTAGAGTTTTAGCAGTTGATAAAAAACAATAATTAACAGATTTACTTCCCCCCTTTTGTTCAAACACGACTCATTTGATAATTTCAATTAATGAAAATTCAATTCCTTTGAGACTTAAGATCTGATCGAGAAGCTTCAGTTATCACATAGTACAAGATACATAGTATTCATAAACTAAGACTTTACTTATTCTATGGTAGGGTATCTGATGAGGTTCTTTCTTGTTCGAAGTAAAGTTTTCATTAAATTATATTATTAGTGACTTGATAAAATAAAGAGATCATAGCATAGTTCAGCCTTTTAAATAAATCGCCCATATATATATATATATATACATATATATATATATATATATATATATATATCATTTTTGTTAAATGCTCTATAGAGCCATCTTTTCTATCCATTGAATTCGCGAAGAAAGATATTATATCAATCTTAAATGAAGGATCTAGAGAAAAACTGACATATAAGTGGGTGAATCATTTCTTAAGAGGAAAATTCGTTTTTCACTTTTGGGCTAGACAAATCATTAAAAAAATCTAAAACAATTTATGAGCACTCATATTTGATGGTGTTTTTTTATGGAAAGATATTTAGCTTGACATATCATTGTGTTAGCTAACAGATAAGTGATTTACAAATGTAAGTTCTATTGTACTAACTCCCATAGTCAACAGTTTAGTGGAATTTCAATAAAATCGGTTACATTTTAATCAAATTAAATAAGCGATTTATTCAGTTAACGTATGTTGACCTACTAGCAAATTTTCATAAGCTACGTCTAATACTTTTGGCAATATTTTCTAACTTAGAAATGTGAGCTCGTTTTCACATATTTGTTTGATAGATTTTCAAATTAAAACCATAAATAAATGAAGTTCACATAGAAGATTTTTCCTAGTAATTCTTATGATAATTATTTCTTGACTTTTCGATGAAATGTTATCAGGACATGTAAAAATCTGACTTACAATGTAAATATTGAACTAAATAATATTAAACAACTATGTATTTTTATAAGCAAAGATGGATGGTAACTAGCTGTGGAATGCAGGATGCGCGTTTCGTCCAATTTGAGGCTCGTCAGACGGATGTGCCTGCATCCGAGTTGATGTTCATTTTGGGGCTCGGACCTAATACTGTTCGCTCTCGGAGTGAACATCAACTATGGAATGCAGTTACGCACAGCTGACGAATCTCAAATAGAATGAAACGCACGTCCTGGATTCCACTGCTAGCTATCATTCATCTTTGTTTATAAAGTTTGTGACTTAAGGCAATATCGAGGCAATCCACATAGGATGTGTATATGCCAATAAGAGACTGATTAATTGCAGTCCAAAATAACGATGGGAAAATACAAGCAAACAACACTAAGTGAATTCATGTATTTTTATGTTTCACATGTGTAAAAAAAGTGAATCGAAAAGTAGACATTTTTGTGTATAACAAAAGGTTGTTTAACAAGTATTTGTTTACCCAATAACTTAGATATATACTGAGTAATTATCATGTCAGACATTTTTTCAGGATAAACATCCTTAGCCGAATCAATATAGCATAGAATTCTAGAAAAGAGGTATCTTATTCATCTTAAAACTGCAATATTTATCATTTGATGGACTGTATTAATATTTCTTTATTACAGTCAATCAGAAATATAATTAATTATCTCCGTGTTGATAACTGTTGAAACACTATGTGCTAGGTCAGATAATTTTTACATCTGTAATCAACGGTTGTACAGCTCGTGTTCTTATTTCATTAACTTACATATCAGCTAAAATGTAATGATTGTATTCCTTGACGTATTTAGAAAGACAAATTTATCATACTAAATAAGTAAAACTTGCTTTCTCTGTAACCGGAAAATAAGTATTTTGATTTGTTTTAAAAGATTAGTATATTTTAATGATGATCGTTGACACGTTATCAGCAAATAACTTCAAAATATATTTATTATTGCCTTGCTGTCCTGTACTCAATTTTTTTGAAACTATCACGTTCAACCTTATCTCTGATACCTACAACATTTAAAAACCATTTTCGACAGCATTAGGGAACCTACATGGGGAAGATATACATTCCTAAGGAGTATTCTAGAGTTGGTTTAATGTAGCAATAGAGTTTTACATTTTTAATTAAACACATTTGTTTGATAGTTTGACTGATTCATATTTCGTACAATCCTTTATCATGCAAATTATTCATGTGATAAGCTTAACATACAGAAGTTATTGTTGATGGGCCCAAACAGTTTTTCAGTTGTTCGAAAGAAATAAAGCTCCTTAAAATCTCAAAGATATTTACTTCTTTTAGTATATAGCTATCTAACTTCTAATCATAGACTATATTAGATATGTTGATTTTACTTATGGTATTCAACTAATAGATTTTATTCATCAGACGTAACCTCAGTAGTTGAACTGAAGCGGATCAGTTTCATAAGGTAGAGATACATCTAACTTGAACGTTAATTTGGCTAGGGTTCAGTGTCATTTCATTGACTCTACATATATCAATAATACATACATTTATCCAAAAATCATGATAAATTAGGCATTTGCTTTAAGAAAACAATAAGCAAGATAATAGCAAAAGGTTGACTATGATAAAATGTACTTTCTAAAGGGTCTGAAAGCGTAAATAAACTGGAAAGAAAATAAATTAAAATATTCATAATGAAGTTGATTTATATTTGTGTAAATCTATAACATGGATGAACTTCTTTAACAGCACCTGTAACTCCTTGATTTTAATAGGTGATGAGGATGACACTTGAATGATATTGAAAATAAAACAACTTTAGCTATTTATTAGTGATATATTTGTGAAGTATTTTTTTGAATGCTGGAATGTTATGTTTTATTGTTGATGATTCTATCCAGGAGTTTTCTTCTTTTTATTGTCCAGTTGTCAAACTTTTATATTCATGATTCGGCTAACTAAATTTGAATGAAATTGTTTTTTGTGGTTTATCTCGAATTTTAACAAACAAAAAGGAACTACTGAATTATTCATAGGTAAAACAAAAATAAACGATTGTCTTTTTAAATGACGCTTAACTAGAAAACATGACAGATTCAAACTGATGTTGTCAAAAGATGACAGGTATACAGTTTAAGGGATAATTGGAAAGGTAAATTCTCTAGTTAATACTATCAGTGTTTAAATGTTGTTCTGAAAGTTTTAATGATTATTATTTTTACGATTATTACTGGTATTTATAAGCGTGATGT